GTCTCGCTGCAATCAAACACTTCTCTGGTATCGTGTATTACCGTGTTATTACATATTAGTTTATATATATATATAGGTACCAGCTATACCTATGATATTTTATTTATACGCGCGAGGCGGGTTTTCGTGAATTATTGCCGCAAACGTCACGCGTACCTATATATATGTAATATATTTTATAGGCACAACATACCTTCGTATGATCGTTACAAGCATAACGTTTCTGTATCTGTAAAATACGTACGCGTATTAAAACGATATAATATACGAAACAACAATAAATATAATGACGGCGACGACGACGACGACGACGATGATAATAATGATAATTGGGTACTTCGAAGTGAAAAGCCCGTCAAGCCCGACGTGATGCTTTTGGTGATGCCGACGACGACGACGACGACGACAAACGGTTGAAGGGCCGCGGGAATCCTCTTCGGGTTCCAAATATATACCTCTGCCCCCACCCCCAACCACCCGCCGAACAACCCATCGAGAGCGGAGAAAAAAAATTCGACCGTCCGCCGCGGACGCACTATATATCATCATCACCAGTTCGTTTAGTGTGCTGTGAGCAATTGAAATGTCAAATTAATATTATACGCGCGAGGAGTTTATCGTGCCCTATAATATAAGCCGGCCGGAGAGAAGTCCGCCGCTCCGCCAATGGGTCTTATATATATATATTGTGCTGTGTGTAGGTATATAGGTGAGCGTATATATATATAATAATAATAATATCATACTATATTATAATAATATGTCCGGGAGGCCACGCCAGTGATTTATACAGCGCCGGAGCCTTTAGCGCGCGCATACAATGGACCGCCGGACAATTAGCATAAATAATTATAGCATGTGTGCGTATAATATAGACTCGCGGCGGCTACTTTTTATCCGGTTTTATCCCCCCCTCTTCCTAAGCTCTCCCCCCCAAACGGCAGCCGCCCCTATTCGCCGGTCAGCCGTATTATTCGTATTTTATATAGCCCGCTCACCTCCTATTGCGATTATCGTCATCATCGTGACTATTTTCCAGATTTAAACACATTCGTCTATAGCTAGATCGCAACGTCCAGATACTACTTTTAGCCGCCTTCTTTTCTATATATATGTATATATACGGGTGTATGACGTATAACACTATGTATATAATATCATCAGTAGCATCTGGACAAACCCGCGACTTGACTCTTGAAAAAATGAAAAAATATTAAATATAACTCTATATGCAGGTGTACCTGGATTTTGTACTTCACAATCCATCTGTGGCTGATTGGATCTTACAGTACTACTGTTTTGTATATTTTCCAACCTGGTTCAAATTAAACTCTAAACTTTACTGATATCTCTAAGAATTTTGTTTCTCTACAACCAATGGCAATACCCTGTATACGATATAAGCAAAAAAATATTCGATTTTCGTAAGTCAAAACGAAATTCATGTGTTAGACATCATATATACAAACATGGCAACATATATTACAATATAAGGGTTGAAGCTATATCCGAGTCTCTAGGAATATGTCTGCAAAATTTGATGTCAATCGGTTCAGTAGTTTTCTGTAAGCGAAACGTAAATTAATTTTGAAATAATACGCCTAGGGCCTACATATAGATTATAAATTATAATATGCGTGTATGAAAACAAAATCTAATCCACGAAAAATTATATAATAAAATGTAAAACTCGCAGTGAGTATTAGTAAGACTTATAAATTATAAAACTAGAGGTTTGAATTCGTTAGGACCCGAAAATTTAGGGGAGGGATCGTCTGCTGTATCCAGGTCTGTAACGCATATTATTTTTTTTTCTCTCAAACATGCCCGTTTCTTGTATCGTCTTTAAGCCACGTATATGTCCAATTTTTCGATTTTTCCTCCGCTGTCGTTCGTCTTGATCGGTGTATCGTTCTTAAAAACTAAAACCTTTTATTTATAAAACCATTATAATTGTACCGTTTCAGAAAACAATCAACGATCGACGCTTGTTGATGATAATAATTATTGTTACCTACATTATTATGTTTTGTTTTAAACAAAATTGGAAACTCATAGTGTGCTACGAGCGTGCTGCAATATACAACGCGTTCATCGATCGCGATACCAAGCGCAATAATTATTATAATAATACCACATTTTTCTCGATATCAAGTATTTTATATAAACAGTTTTAAAAAACGTATTTCAAACCGTAATATTTTATTTGCCAATTAAATGTTTTATAAATTATATTTATACACCAAAACGAGTTTTCTCTACACGAGACGACTTCGTGTAATTTTATTTTATGCGTATATGCAGTAAAATCTTTATTTATGAACACGCGCTCTTATAATGGACAGTTTTTAACTCTATGCCTTAAATAGTTATAGGTAGTGATATTTTTTATTATTATTATAAACTTATCGACACCATAAACACTATGTTTTTATCACTAGGTAGGTGAATCTCGCTGCAGTAAATCATGAAATTAAATAACGCGTGGCATTAAAATATTGCTTTACCGCGTGTCTAATTTGATAGTAATATTATTTTGAGAATATGTCGTAACGAAGTACCCAACGATTATAGGTTTGAAATATTGTTTTAGAACGCTGCAGCAGGATTTTTGCATATAAAGACTCCATAAGAAATGAGAAAAAAATCATTTTTCCTATACTTTTTTTTCGTCAAAAACATCGATACTACATACTTTGTACGTTATTGCGTAGGAGGTATTTGTAGAGTCCCGTCGCAAATAATGCGAAAGGTCTTAAGAAAATTCCGTATAAAAATTCTGTATCAAATAATATTATGCACGGTAGCATAAATGTAATATATTATTATATACGAACTGCGGTCATATAGGTAACGTCCTTTTGAACGCTCTAATTTAACATCAAAAATACACGAAGGTGTGTGTGTGTGTGTGTGTGTGTGTGTGTGTGTGTGTGTGTGTGTGTGTGTTGTGGATATTCAATAAATATCACTGCGTAATATCTCTCGAGCAAATATTAATAATATGTAGGTATAATAATATCAAAGCATAAAATCAAATATCGCCGGGCAATGGATCCCTTGAAATTGTATTCTGTAGGGCGCGTATATTATCCGCGGGGCTAATATTCGAGACACGAATAATGACGACGACGACTTGGATTATTAGAATCATAATAATTGAGATTATGATTATGACGATGAAGACGACAACGACGATGATGATGATAATAATGTAATAAATCGGGATAGCCAATATACCGCAGTGTTGGAAACTCGGCGGCGATATAACGACGTGCCTACCTATTATACATTACAATAATAATAATTATATAATCCTAATCCCTAAATAAACGTTCCATATTTATTTTTTTTTACGCAGCACCTAAATATCATACCTATATACCACAATATTATACGCATTTTACGTCTCGCCTCATAAACGAAATGATTGTCTATTCGCCCCGGTGAACCGTGATTACTGATTATATAGGGAAAGACTCGACTTGATTATTTGTCCATAATTCCCAGCTCACTCTAAAATACCATAATACGTCGTCTTTATTATAAAAAATATATTATATTACAATTACAGATGTCGGCAAACTGCAGTTTGTAGTTTGTACCACTTGGTATGGTTCTGAATTATAATATATAGAAACAGCCGCCAAAACGTTCGGGTTAAAAGTTTATCCACAGACTCCCGCGGGCAATTTGTGTAATATGTTAAAATGTTTACTTTTTCACATGCAGGTAAACCTAAAAGAATAAATCTATCTAAATCTAACCAGTTTGAAATTGCTAAATTTTTATAAATTTATAATAACGTTATCGTTTCACCCGATGATGGGCACGTTAGATGATTGATCATATTATTGTTATACTTGAAATAAGCGTTTCGACGTATTTGTAAAATACCTCATAAGAAAATCTATGCATGATTAGCGTGTGGGGTCGATTTTTAAAAGAAAAAAATGCTTTTATAACAATGAGCTCATATTTTCTACTAAATACTTGTACACGATATACGTGAGAAAAATGTACTAGTTGACTTTCCCAATGTGTAGTATTTTGCGATTTCACGGCGTACATATTTTAATTATAAAAATATTATATACAACTACGAAATTAATTTTAAATGTTTTAATTAAAATTATTTTGATATGTTCATAATACTATATTGTGTACCAAAAGTGGAGAGTTTGAGTGGTGCATTTGTTAGTAATATATTATTATTAATGCAAACTATACTGTACAGCACATTATTTGGATACCGGAGCTGCTTTATCATAAAGGATTATTAGCATATAATTTATCATTATCATAATAGGTAGTACAATTTATTATTAGGTCGTATTCACATCCCATAGAATCAAAACATTTATGCGCATTTATCGTTTACCTGTTCGTGTTATGTACTAAATAATATTATTATGTACCCAAGATGATAAACACGAACGAAAGAGGGTCTCCCCGAAGATAAGTTTACCAAATATTGTTATTTGTTTCATAAATAATTATTTATAGATAAATAAAATTGTGCTTCGCTGTTCACAGTATGCCCATAATTTTAATCGTTTTTTGGTATTTGGATTTGACCTAAACCAATAACCACCTAACCTACAACATTCATTATCTACGATGATATTATTCATCAGTATAGTTTAAAACGCAGTCGTTCTACGTTTCACAGACATTTAGGTGTATAATATATATTACACTGGCATTGAAAAATACGTCGTTGGTCATAACTTGTGCATGACTGCATGAGGTACGACAAATGTTTGTCTGGATGCTGTGAAAATTGATTACCTAGCAGTCGTCCGTACATATTATACAGTAGAAATATAATATAATATATCATCATATATTAATCGAACACCATCTAAGTTTAAACTTGGCAAACACCACGACATGTTCAAATCCACCAAAATAAAAACATATATAATTGTACCTATATAATAACGGGGAAAATATTAAAAAAATTGTTTACTAATTGGAATTTTCTCATCGTTTTTCAGACAAGTGTGCCGGAACTGCAACTGTCCGAGGGACGACCACAGCAGCGGCGGCAGCACCAGTGGCAGCCACAACAACGACCACCACCGACAACTGACGATCGCCGACACGGCCTCGTGCGGAGGAAGTGGTGCCGCGGCGATAATGTCGTCGTCGGCGATGACCGGCGTCAAGCGGGGCACGCCCCCGCCACCGTTGCCGCCGTTGCCCACGGGCCCGCCGGGTTACGATCAAGCGATCGGCGGTTACGAGAAACTGCTGGCCGCTACGGCGGCCGTGGGTTCGACGGCCACGTCCACGGCGTCAGTGGCCACGGCCGCTGGGCGCAAAGACCCATTGGCGGTCGCCGCGCTCCACCTGCAACACCACCACCACCACCATCCGCACCACCATCATGCTGTGGCTACGGCCACGGCGGGCGGAGGTGACCCACAACAGCGGCACTCGCACTCCGACGACGATTCCGGGTGCGCGCTGGAGGAGTACACGTGGGTGCCCGCCGGACTTAGACCAGATCAGGTCGGTACCCATATTTATTATATCATTTTACATAATATTATATATGTATAATATTGGATGATACCTATCTAATTATTATTAATAATATCAAAATAAAAATCGAATTCGGCTCTCTTTTGTACGCGTCGAGATGCCTACATTATAACATAATATATTACACTATATTATATAGTTATTATATGGTACACGAATTCTTTCGGACTTGACGCGCGCAAAACCTGTTTTTTCGTTTTTGATCTCTTTCGTATAAGTCGGTCTTAATTCCTATTACGAGTAGATTTTTGATAATAATAATATGATGTTTGAATTCGACGCACGAAAGGAACGCAGCAAAATCGAACGAGATAATGTTTATACGAGGTACGTGGGTATAACTCAGATGGACCATAATAATATTATTGTTTTGTGACCTCGTCCAGACCCCGACGTCTCCTTTAGATGTAAATTTAGATAGGTGCCAAAAGACCGACCTGGAGTCATTTTTGGTAATAATAATCTAATAAATAATAATCAAACAGAACAACAACAACAAATCATTTATCCACGAATTTGTACCCATGTGAACAGCGCTTGGTTACAACAATATTATATCGTCGACGGCGGCGGCTCAAACGTTTCAACGTTATGATTTAATCGTTTTTCCGACGTAAACATACTCGTACAGGGTTATTGCGTAACTACAGGTGTGGCCGAACCGCGGGGTAGGGTCTTGACATTTTTACTACCTCAAATAATCATATAATATGGGTAGGTATTTTTCCTTTTCCCGCAATCTTCAAATAATTATTGTTTTTCATTAAATCTTGAGGATGTCGACTCTCTCGTCGCACCCCAATTTAATAGCTGTTATATAATATTATTTTGTAGTGAAGTGATACATCGAATCGTTTCGTCCGTCGTCGTCGGCGGTCCAACCGATGAATAAACGAATATAAAGAAGAAAAAATGATGAAAATAACACGACCGACGCATGAAATCTCCGCCGAATCTGCGTCCTGTTAAACGACAGACATATTTTTTCGTCGTTGCGATATTATAAATATTCGGGATGACGAACGCGTACCCATAGACCCGAACTTACTGTGGGGACGCGAACTATACCTACGCAAACGACATGAAAACATCATATTGCGCGAGTATATTATAATATAATATTACAACATATTGTTATATTATTATAATATTAATATTTTCAATGGCATCTCCGTTTAACAATACTTCAAACAAATTTCGCCGCCGCCGCGACTGTCAACTGCACAACATTTCCGTCAGATGATTCCATAATAACACAATCCGGCCCACGACGCGTGCGCGAGTGTTGTTTGTGTTATAATATATATAATAATATTCTATGTTCGTTATGTAATGTGTGTGGGATTGCGCGTATAGTCCTTTGATCTGTACCGTCGGCCGAACCGCATTTTCTGGTCTCTGTTTGCCAAAATAACCGTGCAAAATGTTTTGTTTCGTCGTTTCGGCATATAATACGAGAGTATTATCCGCGGTTAATTATCGTGTATAAGCACGCAAACGCATCCGAATATAAACGATGACAAAACGGATTTCGTGGCGGCGTCGAGATGGCGTATTATACAGGGTGGCGATTCGCCAAGCACAATGCTCGTCTCCTATAGCTTTCTTTTCATCAATAACACGCACATTCGTTCAAAATCTGATATTACGAATTCTTAAATACATATAGAATACACACAGTGACGACCGCGTTTCTAAATGCTTGACATTATTTACGTACTACTTAAGTATATATATTATAGTGTCCTATATAAGATATATCATATGAATATAGTCAATATAGATAGGTACATGGAGATACAAACTTCTGTAATTTTAAATGGAAACCATCCCCCTTTACTAACTGCAAACTGTTTGTATAGGTAGATCGTTTTTATGAAAATATTGACTTGTCCAAATCAAAATTCGAACGATGACTATAGTTTTTAAGTTGTTTAACTTTGTGCACTAAGCAGGGGAGGACTGGCTTGGGTGGTGGGTGGGTGATATCCATCTGGCTCTGGCGAAAATAAATTTGGCCCGATAACTTATAAATATTTTTTATTATTATCCGAAAATTAGCCCAAATTGTCTGTTTCACAGGGGCTAATTTTTATTCCCAGTCCTCCCCTAGCACTAAGGATAAAAGATACACTCGATAATGGATTTGGAAGATATTGTACTGAGGCTTTGGAGATTTTAAAATTGTAGTAATTGATATTAATCTTTCAATAATTATAATTTGTTAAACTTACCCAAATATAATAAATACTAGATCTAAAATCATATCTATTTTATATGTTTGTTAAGCACTATAGTGACTTTATCTAAACATTTTAAATAACTAATCAAATTTTAAATTAGCTATATCAGCGGCTATCAACATTTCCAACAAAAATTATCCACTAAACAATTAACAGTAAAATTTGGGTTCTCATTTGTAAAACAGTAGTTTTTATAGCCATAGAACACTAGCTCCTTAAGTAATACATGCCATGAATTTTAAAAGAAGGTATTTAGGCTTTGAGTATATTTGAAAATTACAAAAATAAGGATTTAAAAAAATTCATTATTGAACGAAAAATGTGGGTGAGTGTGCTTGGTGTGAATCACCCTGTATATGCATATTATGTAGGAAAACACATAGATAGGTGTATCCGGCCGAATAAATATGTCGTCAGTATAATGTTTTCGGCGCATTAGACTTTCGAAACAAAAACTTATATAACAACAATAATTACGCGCATAAACGTGTTTCAAACAGAATAATTGAAACTTAATGTTTTGATGACTTAATAAACAATAACTGCAGTTGTCTGTTTTAATTTAATTAATACGTATCTCCTGCCACTCACCCTCATTCCCCGCAGGAATGTTATTTTACATGTTTCTTGTTAATCATATTATTATAAATACTGCAGGGTAACTACGTCGTCTGTCGGTGTTTAATTCAAGTTCTAACTTTTAGAAGGGGAATGATCCAAATAAAATCGTTTGATTCAATAATATTATATTAGGTATATCGTATACCAAATGTAATAAAAAATTTGGTTTTATCGAGGACTTCACTAATAGACTATAACTTTGATTTATATCGATGGAATTTAATAGTAATTACAATATAATAATTAATAAACAATATCATTTTTATTTTGAATCGTTTTTCTTTCAATTTCATAAATTGTTATACCTAATTGTTACTTAAAAAATATATTTTATCCCATCTTTGTACAACAAGGAGGAGTCTCTAATGGTATTGTATTGTAAAAATATGTAAAAACTATTTATAATATTGACGACACTTTTAGCATAAATTTAAGTGATAGCTTTTATAAAAACCTTACAGATCGCGAAGGTGTAGTAGTTAGTATAGGTACTCATATTATTTAGTGGTTTTTTTTATTGTTTTATAATCTGAAAACGACCATATTTTGGTATAATGGACCAATAGGTATGCTTAACTTGTTGGGTGATTATTGTTACACAAACCTCACAATATCTTACAAAAATACAAGAAATTAAATTTCTTTTTTTTGGAACTATACATATTCGACCTAATTAAAAATCTGATAAATGATAATCATAGAAAAATACTAATAACAGTGAATGGTTTTAAAATTTAAATATAATAATAAAATGAAAAATTCTATTTATTTCCTATAATAGGTACCAGAGGTACCTATATAAGATATTGGATCCCGTGTGACGAAAAATAATCACTCTGCAGTGTATTATATATACCATGTTTCGAAATAGTTCAAGACCTCGCCCAGTGCACGCTTCATATAAGTACATTTTCCGTTTCTGTACTCTGTAGTACGCAGTCGAACAGGCCAACAATTTAGTATAACGATAACGGGTATTATCGTGGCGATTAATTGTCCTTTTTAGAAACGGTTTCCGTGATCAAACCACCCCGCTTCAGCCACGCTACGGAGGGGGTATCTTAATAAAATCTCGAGCCCTCGTTGGGAGGGTAGCGAAAGACAGACAACGATGGTTTGTCCTGCTCTTAAAGGAATTATATAGAATACAAGGCATTTACTTTCGAGGACGACGGCGTCTCCCCGGGGCGTTTTGCCCGACAACGACGGCGGCGGGGAAGTCTTCGCGTTATGTGATACGTCATTAGGCACGACAAATAACGGTCGTACGGTCGTCGAGGTTTGTTGTGTTTCCTCCGAATATATATTATACAAGCACACACACACACACACACACACACACACACACACACACACACACACACACACACACACACACACACACACACACACACACACACACACACACACACACACACACAGACGCACCCACATACACCCACCCACACGCGCACACACGCCGCAGTCACTCTATTATATGCCCCGCAGACGCGGCGGATCTATGGATCTTCGCGGGTTTCCTAGAGGAAAGAAAAAACGTATTATGTACAAGCCACCTCGTCCAGAGGATTGCTCTGTCACTCTTTCTCTTTCTGATTCACTTTCTCTCTCTCTCTTTTCCTTTTTATTTCGGTCCGTTTGTCTCGAGACGTGGTCGGCTCTCCGGGGACACCACGCCGCCTTCTCGAGGTCTGTTGGGCAAAGAGCGTGTCGTCCCGAGTTCGTTTGCAGTACGTAGGGGTGAAAAAAAAACATTTTATATTATATAAACTTTATCAGAAAAATATTCGTTTTTCGCTAGCGTTTAGCTAAGTCTCCGCGGAGTATACGAAATACCGTCCTTTGGCGACTCGTAAATACATTCGTTATTCGTATATTATATATAATTATGGTCGTTTATCGGCCACAGTATAAAATCATTACCTCAATAACTAGATAAATTACAAAATTGGAATCTATTTATATTTAATGCTGTATAATGCTATATAACTATGCTGCTATATGAGAAAGACTTTTTAACCATTTAGATAAATTTACATGATCATTTAAGTTATTTGACATCTATTGGTAATTATTTACCTAGGTATATTTTATTAGAGATTT